TGGTTTTTATATTCCACATATGATTTTTGGAGGTTTTCTATATCATACTTGTTTTAGTAATATTTGATGACAAAAGTGTCTCCAAAATAGTTTCTGGTGGATTTTTTTGCCCTTTGTTTTGTTTTTGAGGTTTGTTTGTTTGGGTTTTTTGTTGTTGAAACTTCAATCACTAAGCTTTTAAGTAGAGTAGTTTCTTTCTCCAGCTGCGGAGGGAGAATTTCAGTGAAGAGATTCAGAGTGAGGAAATAATGATATTATTGTGTTGTTTTCAATTAGAAAATCATGGGCCCAACATAAGTATGACATTTTGTTCTTAAAATGAAACCAAATAGAGGTCTAAGTGAGGACACTTTCTGCGGTGACAAAACAGACTGTGTCTTTTCTTGTTCATCTGTTCTGGTTTGCTACATCCGTTGTCCAGATACCAATTGATTTCTTAGTATGTTTACTAAGTTTGCATGTCAAAGTTGTTATTTATTAAAGAGAATGCAGTGTATCTTTTAAGAAGTCTGTATAAACAGATTTTTATGACACCTGATGTTCAATTGCATCCTTTGTAGTTTTGCAGTCTGCGACATTTTCTGAAGGCATCTTCATAATAATCCTGAACTACTTAAAATTTTAGGTTCTTCTTTCTAAATGTGGAGGTGTGACAGAGTTCACTTCTTTCATTATGTAAGTCTTCAAATGTAGGAATTGCTGATGTAAAATTTAAGGGTTGTGTGAAGTGCGTAGACCAGACCATCCTTGCTAGCTTAAAAAGCTGCAAATTCATAAGAAGTTGTAATTTTCCACAATAGCAGAAATGACTTTCAGTGTCTTGAACAAACGTATTGCATCAGGAATCAGCAGTCTGTGTTCTTATATCCATATTTTTTTCCTTTTGCATCTAGTTTCAAAATGATTGTGTAGTTGTTAAGGAATGTCTTCTGGCTACTGCATTCCAGCAGCAGCAAGTACAGTGAATTGATATGTTGTGTGCAATGTAACTCTATAAAGGAGTAACAAGTATTTGTAGTTAATGTTACATACGTGTTTCTTTTTGAACTTTCATTAATAACTTCCTGTTAGGTTTACCTTTCAGGCAGATATGTTTTTCCCAGGCTTATTTCTTTCTCAGAAGTGATACTTTAAATTGGAGCAATTCTCCAAAGGGAACAGTGTTTGGAGAAAGATAAACGGAATGCTCCACCTGTCTACAGCTTTTTCTGTGTCAGAACCAGCTGGTAGTAGAAAGCTGAAAATTATCATGGAAGTGCCCCTCATTGTGAAGTCCTTTTGAGTGCTGCAGTGAAAATTGGTATTGATTTGACCAAGTTGTGACCCTTTGCAAATTGTACACTCTGCATGCAGAGGGTTTTCTCACTTGCTCCATCTGTAAAGTAGGCATCTAAAGACAGCCTTGTGCTCTGTAGTCATGATGATCTCTTATGCATTGGCTGAACTCACCAAAGTTTGCTTCCTAGAGTTGGTTACTGTACTCTTCTTGCTACCAGCATCGTGTGTAGTTGCTTCTTGTAGTTGCAACATGTAGTTGCTGTCAAAGCGTAGGATTACTTGTTTATTCCTTAAATTCTGTTTTGCTTCTCTGTAAGCCCGAATCATTTCAACAGAACCAGGTAGATGAAACTGTGTACAGTCACTCTAGCAGATGGCATGCTTGCCCAGGAGATAGTATTGATGGACTTAGGGAAATGTTGTAGTGCTTGCTTAGTTGTTTTAGGCTTTTCAACCTCAAAATCCAATTGTGCAAAAAACTAAACCTTTTTAAAAAGGTCAGTCCTAGGAATGCAGCATAAGAATTTCCGGTTTTAAGAAGTTAAAATGACATTTCAAGACTGTCCTAAGATTGTGGAGCTGTGTTGAAAGGAGAGATGGCTTGAGAATGTGTTTCCCCCCACCTGCCCCCACCTAAAACCTTTGTTGCATAAAAGTAAAATACTTAACATTTCTATCTTTTTATAGAACATAAATTTGATGTTGCACTTCGGTCTTTGTTTTTCAGTCTTCACTAACTGATTGGCATAAGTGCAAGTAATTTATTGCTCGTTAAGGATAAGTATTCATTATATTATGTAGTGTGTTGCCTAAGACAAGACAGGCAGAGCTGCAGTACTGCAGGGCTTGATACAGGCGTTTTTACTGCAGGGATTTGTTTCCTTTTCCTTTCCATTATTTAAAATAAAGTTACATTTGACCATTGTATGTGTGCAGGTTCTTTGCTTTATGGATGTGTATATGACATGTTCCCACTGCTTCCTGAACAGATGCAGGGCTAAGAAATGTTAATGCACTCACTCCGTGTTTTACAAACTACAGCATTGTTTGATGTAATGTTGAGAGCACCTGACCATCCTCTACTATCAGGAAAAGTTGAAACTGCAAGAATATGAACTGTTGTAATTTGTCAGAAAGAATATGGAGTAGGAGGTGATCATGCCAGGTTTGTAGGTCCTTCACAGTTATCAGAATTATAAGAAAAAATGTGGAATAACACAGCTTATTTTTGTAAATGAAATTACAAGTCTGAACTGAACCTGAACATGGATAATGCAACATCGGTGTCAGATATTGCTGTAAATGTCTCACATGAGAGTGGAAAGGGCCTCTTTGGTTTCTGTTTTCAGACACCTGGTGTGTAAGGCATCCATCATAATCTCATTATACTTAGATATATTCTAGTAGGAGTAATTTAAAATTATATCAAGAGGGAACAATGCTTAAAATCAGGCTCAATCCTTTTCAAAATCTGGCTGAATAAAAATTTCTATTCATTAGCTTGCTTATTAAAAAAAGTAGGCTTTAGAAGTGATAGTTAATTCAGTTGATTTTGTAGTTATGTCATACATTGTACTGTAAGTTTCAAACATCTATTTCTGGACACAGATTACTAGAACCTTGTAGGTTAAATTTCAACTAAAAAGAAGAAAAGGTAGATGGAAGGTAATATTTATTCAGTGGTTCTTGGAGAAGATAAGGATCTATCAGTGTATTCAGAAGTGTTGTCTAGGCTACTTTTTTCTAAAATCTTGGTTTCCTGAATATTAAGTTTCTTCATGACATTTTAAGGCTGTCTTAAGACTTGTTGTGCTGTGCTGAAAGGAAGGATGGCTTGAAGAACATGCAGTTTGTTTTCCATGATTTGCTTTTGTGGTGGAAAAGCTAATGCATTACATGTGTAGTACCTTTCAATACTTATAATTTACCAGAAACTTCTCTGCAGTGTTCATTAATTTACTGTCACATACTGAGGTGAAACATTTGATAATTTTCACCTTCTTTAACTCTATTGCACTTTGAGTTTAGGTTATTTATTATTTGCATGATGTACACAGCATAGATTTGCTCTTTGCAAAGGAAAGGTAGCCATCTGCTGCTGCTTCCTCCTCTTCTTCAGTGGCACATGGATTTAGAGTAACTATTTGCCTGAAATGATTTTGAAATAGTTATCATGCCCTACAAGTAGTAAAAGTTCCGTTAACGGTTAATAAATAAAGAATTGTCCATCATCTTTAGATGTGTGGTCTCCTGATACTATATTCAGCTTGTATATCCAATTTACTGTAGAACAGTTGTGTGTCTATATGTATTTTATATTTGGCATGATTTGTCAAATACCCACTGCTTGTGTGTTGTGAATTCATATAAATTCTTCCTCCTATCCCTGTTTTCTTCTCGCAGAAATGGCCTTTTAGTCCTACAGGTTTGACCTAACTACCTTTTTTTTAATTTATTTTTTATTTCATATGGCTGCTTTTTAAACATGTCTGCATTCTTGCATTTTGGACTTAGTTAATATGTATCGATTGCTTTTTATCCTATTCTGTGTTGTTTGGTGCCTTTTTTCTATATAGAATATCCAGATTGGTGGCCTTTATTAATAGACACTTCACCCCCCACCCCGTTAGTGCTATTTTAGCCCTATTAGCTTCCATCAGTCACCTTTCTTCCTCTTGCAAACACTCTCATTACAATTGTTCCTGTTTTCCTTTCCACTGATGGAAGTTGGTTGCGTTTCCTCATGGCTCTGTAATCAGACGCTCTTGACTAAAATCAGCTAAAACATACTTGGAGATAGAATTGTGAGAAAGAGGCATGCAAAATGACCTCAGAGCAGAAAACATGCCATTCATTGCTGCTTATCCTCTGGACTTCTCGTTTGACATCCTTCAGCAGGCAGGCGCTCCCCCTGCTTTTGCTTAGCGTAGCTGTGGCTGGTTTCTTTGTTGCTGCTGTAGTGGATCATACTGACGTATTCGTCTTCGGTGAACCCTGGACCAACAGCTGGAACAGCATGAACATAAGCAGTGCTGCTCTGGTCTCCTCCCATTCTGCACTGCTACACATCACTGTGTTGGGTGATGGGCAACGCCGTATGTGCTTAGACCATATGGTATTTTCTCGTCAATCTACAGTTGCCTTGTTCTTCATACATTATAATATTTTGCTATATGTGTGTTAAGTTCAGTTTGTCTTTTGGAAGCTGTTTTTATTTGCTAGAATTAGAGGCATGTACTTCCATGGAAAAGCTAATTTTGCAATAAACAGTTACTGGTAGTAAAGGATATGAGGTAATGCTCTAGATTCAACTGAAGATGGTCCTTAAAAGAAAAAAATGTTTTTACGTGGTGTCTACATCCATACTGTTAAGGAAGTAAGCAATATAACTTGTGGATCATTTTCATAAGCATCAGTATGGGGAATGAAGCTTGGAAAACTTGCCTCCCAAAGAGTTTTCATGAGCACTTAATTTTGCCTTTAAACAGGGAGAAGCACATTAAACGTGTGCTAATTATGAGTTTTGCAGCAACTTGACTGCTAACTTGAGGTCTGTGTCTGCAGCCATGTTCTGCATTCTTTGAATTCATCTTGGTATAATATTTTTAAATATTTCAAACAGCAGATGTGCATTGCTTATAGATTTGTGTAAATGTTGATGCACTGTATACAAAATACGTCTCCCATACAATGATCTGTTGACATTATTCTCTGTTGCTTAGCTTCAGACACTAAAGTCATGACATGTGCTGCTGTTTGGAGGATGCCGAAGGAATTGGAATCAGGCAGTCATGAATCCCCTGATGATTCATCAAGCAACACTCAAACCCTGGAGCTACTCTGTCACCTTGACAACACAGCCCATGGCAATATGGCCTGGTAGGATTCTGCATATTTTATACTCCTAGAAAAAGCCTAAAGGATAGACCCATGCTGTTAGTTTTGTGCAGATTTATATTGTAGAAGCTATGCTATGCACTTTAAAACTATTACATCTTTAAAATAAAAAAAGTACAAATTGGATTTTTAGTCCCAGATGTTTCATAGATTAAAAACATTTATTATAGTCCTGCAAACACATATGGAGTAACAGCCTGTGTACTGTTTTATTGTGTTTTTCCCCACCTGCCCCCATCTAAAACCTTTGTTGCACAAAGGTATAATACTTAGCATTTTATTCTTTTTATGGAATACAAATTTGATGTTGCACTTCAGTCTTTGTTTTTCAGTGTTCACTCAAGTGATTTGGCATAAGTGCAAGTAATTAATTGTTTGTTAAGGATAAGAATTCATTATATGATATGATGCTTGTGTAACTACTCTTTATCTGTTGCCTAAGACAAGGAGAGCTGCAGTACTGCAGAGGTTTGTTTCCCTTTCCTTTCTGTAATTTAAAAGAACGTTTAATTTGACTATTGTGTATATGCAAGTTCTTTGCTTTATGGGTGTGTATATGACATGTTCCCACTGCTTCCTGAACAGATGCAGGGCATACCATAATTTCTAAGCATTCATTTCTAGCCACAGGTTTCTAATTTGAGACTTGTAGTTTAAATTTCAACTAAAAAAGAAGATAAATAGAACGTAATATCTATTAGGATGTTCTTGGACAAAATAGGACATACCAGTGCATTCAGAAGTACTGTATAGGGTAATTTGGTCTAAAACATAGGCTTCCTGAATGTTATATTTTTTGTATTAGTATCTTAATTCTTTGCTGTACATTTTCATATGAACACTCGTCTTTATAACTCTTTGATAATTTTAATTCACTTTTTATTGTTGAAATGTTTTGGCAATTAATTATCCATAATCTGTTTCTGTCTGATGTTGGAATGCCAGAACTCTGTATGGTGACCTGGTCACCAAAGGAGGAGTAGGGGGCATATCTCTTACTTTCTATCAGGATGTGAATTTATGTGCATGCTGAAAATAATTTTTTCCCTTCTAATAACAGGTTGTAACAAGTTCATGTACAGTTTTCTGTTATCTGATTTTGTTCAGTACTTAGTTCTCACTAGTATCTGCTACCATTTAATGCCCATTATCTATGTACCTCTGTGTGTGTGTGTATATATATATATATATATATATGCATAAAGATTTGAAAATGTTACAGAGAGATAAAAAGCGCATACAAAATACTTGGCATTAGAACTCCTCACATCATCTCAGGCAAGCACAGTTGAGTTAGAGGATCTTGTTCTGGAGCAGGCTTTTCTATTCCTGCCGCAGTCATATTGGAAACAGCTCACGTAAATGAGTAAATTAGGGCTTTTGTGCTAAATGTGTGTCACTTAACAGGCCATGTCCCACTGAGTGGTGTGGTGGCTATGAATAACAACTTAAATGTTCTTTTCTATTACACTTTTTGGATATTTAGAAGAACATGAAACTAATATAGACACTTACAATACAATTGTTATTAGAATCAACCATAAATCAGAAAAGCAGTTTTCTTCAATGCGAAGTGTAAATAGTTTTCAAAGCCCAGCGTAAGACCAGCATTCTGGTGTACACAGTGCCTGAGATCAGTGGTGGTCTGCCATCATACATTCACAGTAAGAAGGGCAGTGCTTATTCTGGCTCTGTCATTTGCCTTGCCGTTAGAGCATACATACCCTTTGTTTTACTCTGAAAACACAGGCTGAATACTGAACCCAGAGGTTCAGTGTTTTCAGAGTAAAACAAAAAAGTAAAACAAAACCCCAGAGGTTCAGTGTGACCATGTGCACTTTAAGGAGTTTGTTTAATCTATAGGGCGCAGTAGAGCAGTGTACTGTGACTGCTAATGATTTGATACAGTCTTAATTTTTTGAAGGTAATTTTGAAAATTATTAGTCAGAATGCATAATTAAAGAAAAACCCCAAACAAACAAAACTCCCTGAGCTTTTATCATATCTCTATATGCTGGGCCCAGAAGAGTGGCAGAGTTGGCAGTGCAGTTTAGAGATGCAGGGTATAATGTTGGTCTCAGCCTTTGTGACACTGATTCTAGGAAGTAGCTCATGGGAAGGTATTTTGTGTGTCTCAGCATCCATAGCACAGATGCTTCATGATATTCATGGATCTGGTTGCAGATCATAAGTAATTGAGATTTGGCTGTAACTGAGAAGGGAAAAAAGCAAAAGTATCTTGAAAATGCAACTGATTATGTACTCTGGCATCTACCACCTGCCTCATGGCTTTATTTGCTTGTAGTGTTGTTTATGTTTTCCCTACTCTGCTTTATTTCTTAACATATTTTCTTTAAGGTTTATCTTCTTGCATTGTTTTTCTCTTATATTAAGAAAGCCTGATAGTTGAAAAACTACCTCACAGATTTTTCTGTTTCATGCACTAGGAAATAAAAGGGGGATTTTTTCCAGGTCTGGTGTTTTAGGTATTGGTTTTCTTCAACTCTTTACTTGTTATTAAGAACTGCTTCTGTGTTTCTCTACCTTTATCTCATCTCCCTTAAGAAATACTGTGCTCAAATGTCTCTGAAATTTCTTAGTAAAAACCAGTGGGAACATATATAATACCAGTTCTCTTTTGTGAACTAAGACCAAAAGAGCATTTTCAATTGATTGTGGCTAAAATTCTAAACTTTGCTTGTGTGTGACTGAACATTGTGTCCCTCCTGCTCAGGATCTGTTGAAATAGTTGCTAGTCTTGACAAAACCTTTGGCAAAAATATGATCTCCGAGCCATTCCAGGCAAGTGAAAAAGAAATTCACTTTTCTACAGTTCCATTTTAGCTGGATTGCATGAGTGTTTAAATATTAAGCATAACTATTTTCAATTACTGAGATTCTGTTTACTACCTCTAAGCTTTGAATTTGAGACTCATCAGAATTTTTACTCAAACTCTTGTATGGCATAAAGAGAGCTCAGAAAACTAAGCAGATACTTAAATTAAGCAAACAAATAGACCTGTTGATTGCTCTGTTTGGTTCAAGCCTAAGATGTTTTTTTGTCTTCTGCCTGCTGTTCCTCACATGAGCCAAAGTGCAAAGATTTCAAGTGCAAAGCTCCTCAATGAATTACTTTCAGAGTGAAAAACCCCAGATACACATTGAAGTGTGTGTGTGTTTGAAAAAAATGGCCTTTTCAGTACATTCAGTCTGTAGAACTGGGACCTGGGAGTTTGGATAGACAGAAAGCTTGAACATGAGCCATCAATGTGGAGGAGGCTCAGGGGAGATTTTATCGCCTTCTACAACTCCCTGACAGGAGGTTGGAGTCAGGTGGGGATTGGTCTCTTCTTGCAGGCAACTAGCAATAGGACAAAAGGGCAGAGGTCAGGTCTCTTCCAACCTGGTTGATTCTATGATTCTGTGATTTATTCATGCAGTGTTAAACACACATAACCATAGGTATGTTGCTCTATGCAGTGTTTTAAAATTCATTTAAAGAAACTTGCCATTGGGTATCTTAGCTTGGTCTGCTTCTTGCATGGTCTGCATAGGAGAAGCCAAGGAAACAGAGCAGCAGTTAATGAGATCTTGATTACTCCTCTGGTTGATTCTATGATTCTGTGATTTATTCATGCAGTGTTAAACACACATAACCATAGGTATGTTGCTCTATGCAGTGTTTTAAAATTCATTTAAAGAAACTTGCCATTGGGTATCTTAGCTTGGTCTGCTTCTTGCATGGTCTGCATAGGAGAAGCCAAGGAAACAGAGCAGCAGTTAATGAGATCTTGATTACTCCTCTGAGTGCAGCTTGGAGGAATGCCTAGAACTGTGTCTGTTAAAACCCTGAAGACTTGTATTTTAGCAGTAACCTACTGTTCTACTTCTTCCTCAGTTTTGCTGCAGACTTTTTTGGTAGTAGACTTAACACAATAGTCCTTGGAGGAGGAGGATACTACAGGCTATGTGAGAAAGTGTAATCTGTGAGATCTGGAATTTGGAACACAGCAGGGAGTTTCTCCTCTTGCATCTGCTGGAAGCAGGCTTGCCTATATCTGCTTAACATCCTACTTTTTACTTCCCAAATGTGAAGGGTATAAAATAAGATAGAGTCTGCTGAGTAGCAAAGAATGTACTTGAAAAGGGAGGGGAATAAGTGAACTAAGTTGGATGGTGGTCCATGGAGTAAATTTGGAATAAAATAAAAGGAAAATGAATAAGGGGAGAGTGTAATGAGGTACAACTGTAAAGGGAAAATGAATGGAAATAGAGACATGCTTATTTGTGGTAAGCCTGAAAGGTAAGGAATGAAGAATTTGCATTTTATTTAGAAAACAGTAGTCAGCTACTAAAGATTTCGAAAGGGATGACTAGGTAGGAATAATGATAGATTACTTCATTAAGCTTCTCTAATAGATGACATTTACATTATTTTTAGTGTATCCCACTCAATCAATCCTAAATATGAATGTGCAAATATTACCACATCTAAGAGAAATTAGAAGACAAATTATAATTTTTCCAAGAGTCACAGATGTTTTAAGAACTCCAGGATGTTTATCCTAAAATACTAAACTAAAACTTTGAATTCACAGAGGAGAAAGTTACTATTCCCACAGACTTTAAGTACTTAGATTTTATTTGGCATTTCATTGAAAGTCTCCAAAGAGAGTACTGAGAAGTACCACCTCTTCCTTGTCTATATGATTGCCCAGTACAACGTAACATCATTAAGGCTGGCTTTCTACAAAAGTACAAGTTTGCTCTAACAGTCCTTTCAACTTGAATAGCAGTTTACTTCATTTAAGATACATAAGATACTTTACATTGCGTTTTTTTGCTTCAGTTGCATCATATTTATTGCAGTAATGCCCACAGTCACCTGGTGAAAGTTAAGCACATTTGTAATTGATGCCCTGAAGACTCTGTTAGGCGTCACGATATATATGTTAAAATTCTAGCTTAGTGTTTCATAAAAA